GCCGTGCAAGCGCAAGGACCCAAGTTCGATCCCCGATCCCCGGTACGAAAACAAAACAAAACAAAACAAAAACAACCCCTGCATGACATGATGAGCCTTTTCCTGCCCCACCCGTTCCAGCCAAGTCCTCTTCATATATATTTATTTCTTTTGTAGCCTTGGGGATGGAACCCAGATCCTTGTGCACACTAGGCAAGTGCTCCACCACTGCACTACACCCTAGCCCTTTTCAAAAGTTTTTAAACTCTTGAGACCAGGTCTCACTAAGTTGCCCAGGCTGGCCAAGTTTTCTCAGTGGCTTCATCTCACCACCTCTCTGATCTTGTCTCTTCCTCCTCATCCCTTTGCTCGCCTTCATGCCAGCCTCAGGGTCCCTTTGCCCCTCCGTGAACACACTAGGCACACTCCAACCCCAAGGCCTTTGCACGTGCTACTCTCTGTCTGGGACGCCCTTCCCTGGAAGTCCACTTCTCGTCTCCTTGGACAGGCCTTCTGGGAGCACCCAGTCTAGAATCACTGCCTTCCCCCGGCACGCCTCATCTTCTAGCTTGATTTTCTTTTTCTCCATAGCACTTAGCATCTCCTAGAATACTTAGTCACCTCTGAATCAGTTAGTTCATTGCTTGTGTCCTCCAGCTGAAACTCACCTTCTTCAGGGAGGGATTTGTGTCTGTTCTATGTCATCAGCACCTGGCACATGGTCAGCACATGGTAGATAATACATAGTCACTGAAATTCAGGATGTTTGACAAAGACCTGGATTTCTGGATTTCATTTATTTTCTTAAATATCTATTTATTTATGATTTTTGAGATGGAGTCTTATATATAGTTTAGGCTGGCCTTGAACTCACTGTGTAGCTGGCCTCAAACTTGCAGTGATCCTCCTGCCTCGGCCTCCTGAGTGCTGGGATTATAAGTGTACCCACCATGCCCATTTTGCCCCCTCCCCAGGCATTTTCTATCAGATTCTCTCTCTCTTTTTTTTTCTCACTATAGGGAATCAAACTTTCATTCAGGATCTTGCACCTGCCAGGCAGGCGTGGCGCCACTGAGCTAGCACATTCTCAAAGGGGCCCCTGACCCTCTGTTCCCAGCCCTGTGAAGAAGGGGTGGGAGAAGATGATTCCTACCATCTTGTGGGTGGGGAAACTGAGGTCCGGAGGAGGCAAGATCACACAGTGCGGCTCTGGATCACACAGTGCCCACAGCCGCCCTCCTCCCCTGGCTCCCGGGTGGGTGGCAAGAGGCCTCTGAGTCCTGCCTGCCCGCCCGCTCCAGCGCAGCCCCACTCACCCAGAGGGTCGCCGGACACCACGCTGTACTCCACCTGCCCGTTGGGGCCTGAATCCCGGTCGTGGGCCAGGAAGGTCCACACTCGGGGCCCTGGCTGGCCCTCAGTGACATCAAACGGTCCCTCGTAGTCCCGGGGGAAGGTAGGCACATTGTCATTGATGTCATTCACATTCACCAGCACCTGAGGTGGTGGAGAAGCTCTGCTGGGGCCTCTTCCCAGCCAGGGTGTGGCGGGCTCAGCCCACACAACCTCAGCCACTATACTCGTGAGTGTGGCCTTGTGCAGCTGATTCGTGGGTGGTCATGGATGTGGGGGGCATTTTATCGACGCATGTGGATGAGTTGCTCTCAAGGTTTTCTTTCATTTTTTTTCAGATGGGGTCTCACTATGTAGTTCAGACTGGCCTCAAACATGTGGCAGTCCTCCTGCCTCTGCCTCCCAAGTGCTGGGATTACAGGTGTGTGCCACCAACCCCACAATGCCTGGGGATCCCTCTTTCACAGTTGAAGAAACTGAAGCTGAGAGAGGTTATACAACTTGGCCAGGTTCACACAGGTAGGGAGTGAAAGGTAAGGGATTTGAACTCCTGTTCATTTGCTCAGAGTTCATGCTTTTCCCATGAAGGGGAAGAGAGGAAGGTAGGTGTTTTCATCGGTCTGATTAGATACAGCCACACAGAGAGGTTCAGTGGCCTCTTCCAAGTCACCCAGCAAGTTTAGGTGGGCTGCTGGGCCAAGGACAGACCTCCTGGATAGAGGCATTTCCCCCTGAATATGCTTTCCTTCACTCCTGCCCCCACTGGAGTTTCCCGGGTTCCGTCCCACTGCTCTGCACACTGGGGCTGTGCCCCACTCACCGTGGTGGTCGAGGTGAGGCGGTGGGACACGATGGGGCACTGGTCTGTGGCGGTGACCATCAGGGTGTAGCGGCCATGGCTGATCTCGTAGTCCAGCTCCTTGGCAGCACTGATGATGCCCTGGGGGACACAGAGGGGACATGGGTGGAGCAGTGGGTCTAGGGCACCCTCTGACCAACCCAGGAGGTCAAGGCCTGGATGCCCTGGCACACAGGAACAGGCAACCTCTAGAGGCAACCTCTAGATGAGGGCCCACCCACCCCCGCTCTCCAACCTCCCACCTGGTGACCCCAGTGTCCCCAGACCCTATCCGCAGTCCCCATCCTGAGATGTTGCTGAGCTTCTGCCAGCCTCTGGGGAAGCCTCGCCCTCCTCCTACACCCCATCGTCAGCTGCTCACTGTGCGTCTGCCAATCCGGAAGGTGTTAATGATGTTGCCTGCGATGATGGCGTAGACAACCGTGCCATTGGGCCCCTCGTCTGGGTCCAGTGCCTGGATGGTGATGAGGCTGGCATTGACTGTGTCTGGGCCCTCATCCAGCAACACCTCGTAGTGAGGCTGCTGGAATACAGGGGCATTGTCGTTCTCATCCACAATGGTCACATACACGTGGGTGGTGGCCTGAGGAGAACGGCAGGGTCAGATGCCTTAGTCAGGTGCTAGGAGGGACTGAGGTAGATCAAGATGGTGAGGGAAGGGAGTCACAGGCTGGTAATTGCTTACGTCTAAAATGGCACTCACACTACCACTGCTGTGTCTATGCCTGTGGAAGACATCATTAATCAATCATGGCACTGCTGAGGCCAGATGCACACTTGTGATCCTTGCCAGCTAGAGGTCTAGTGATTAAAATGGGCATATGGGATGAACACCAGAAGTCACCCCAATCTACAGCTTTGTCCCTGCTTTTCCTGCACAATGACAATGCAGCTGTGGACACTGACCACACTGGTTCGAGGCCCAGCCTTGAGTCCTGGGGGCCCCAGCAAGAGTACAAGAGCACCACCTGGGGAGAGGTGGGCAGGGGCACCGACATTTCCCACCATTCCCAAGCCACATCCCAGCTCCCAGAAAGCCCGTCTGACCATCATGTAGGCTTCTGGGGCTAAAAGAGGGGTTCCCTCAGAGCTGCCCCTGCAGCACTCCTGATCGAGACCAGGCCTGGGTGTGGTCTGCCTCCCTCTGGCTTCTGAGTGAGGAGGAGGTCAGGCATGAAGGCCCTCTCTGCAGAGTGTCCTGCCCTGCCCCAGGCTTTGGGGAAAGAGGGCTTGAGGCTACTGAACCAGCCCACACCTTGTGCAATGCACGTCTTACCTGATGCAATCCTACAAGGAGACTCAGGGCTGGGCAGTGTCGGGAGGAAGTAGAAGAACAGGGAGGTGCTCTCGGGTCTCACCCTGGGGTGACCCCCAGCACCTCTGCCAAAGGATGGAAAGAGGACACATATTCTGCCACCAGGAAGGGTACAGGAGTGCACCCAGGCAGTGCCACAAGGGCAGAATCGTGCTCAAGCACCTGGATTATGTTTTGGCCACCCTGTGGCTCCCATCCCAGTGTCCTCTTTGGCTCTAGGGGGCCTAGGGCTGTGCAAGGTCACCAAGTAATAACATGATGCCCTCTTCATGTTACCCTCTTCCTCGGCTGTGGCCTTCCCTCCCCCAGAGCCAGGGCTGGGAGAGCTTGTGACATGGATCAGGACACTCATAGGGCATCCACAATTTTTGGCTCCCACCTGTCCCACCAGCCTGATTCCTGACACTGCTGGACTCTGCCTGTCTTCAGCCTGGGGTCACCGGAGAGCTCCAGATCCATAAGGGGCCAGCAAATCAGGGCTGGGGCACACTGGGGACAGGAGGGGTACCCTCCCTCTCCTGTGGCTCCTGTCCCCACTACGGCCACCTCCTCTACTCCATCAGGGAGTCCTATATGCTCTTACTGAATGGTTTAGTCTCTCAGCTAAGAGGGTAGTAACAGCCTCTTCATTCCTGGCTTATGGTAGGGCCTCAGAACCATGAGGGGAGGAGCGTGTAGTCCCCAAAAGCTTGAAAGGACAAAAGAGCCCAGAGAAGAACCAGTTGGTTGGAGCATCCCGCCAGTATGGTAGCCAACGAGGGTGTGGACAGAAAGGACTGAGGGCCTCAAAAGAGGGCTAGAGATACCGTGGAGGGAAGGACTTGAGGTCTTGTGGGGTGACCAGAATTTGAGTAGGAAATGATGGTGGGCACCTGGGTGATGCCACAGGCCTGAGATGCATCCACAGTGAGAGTGTGAGGCCGTCCAGGATGCAGGGGAGGGACAGCTGGTGCTGAGCCAAGGGGTAGCAGGGCCTGGGCCAGAGGAGCTCAACGGGACCCCGCAGGACACACTAGCAGATGCTGCACACACGTCCTGGTGTAGGGGCATGGCCAGCCTGCTGGGCAACACGCCAGTTCCACGTGTGTGTGCATCTGTGCGCAGACTCACAAGGGCCTCAAGCACTGAGTCTACAGTCAGGCCCACTGCAGCTTGCTTAGCTCATTACCAATGTCAGATTTCTCTACCTCATTCAGGCCTGGGCTGGCAGGAGTATGCCTGCACAGCCCCTTCCCCCAGTCTACTCAAAGGCAGGTGGCGGAGGACAGATACACAGTATGATAATGATGCTGTGTTCGACGTAGATCCGCTTCTTAGGTTGTGCAAGGATAACGAAAGAGCTGGGGAGGGCAGAAAGCACTTACGCATGGGCCCCAAACCCGCTATCTGTGGGGCCCGCCGCTCCCTCCTCTCCTGCGCAACCTCAGGCGCAGTGCCTCCTGCGGCCGGCCGGGGGCGCCGTAGGGCCCCAGCCTCCGCCCCGCCGCGCACCGCGCTGGCTCCGCATTCGCTCCGGAGGCTGCCCTGGCCGGCCACGTCCCGCCGGTCCCCTGCGACCCGCCGCCCGCTCTGTCCGACGGCGACGGCGACATGAGCGTCCCCGCGGTCCCGGAGGCCGGCAGCCGGCGCTGGGGGCCCCTGCTCCTCACTCTCTTCCTGGCCGCGTCCAGAGGTAAGGTCCGCGGGCAACTGGGCAGTGCGCCCGGAGAGGCGGCGGTTGGGGGTCCCCGCCACCAGCTGGGAGCTCCGTCCACAGCGCGGAGGCTTCGAGCTGCTGGGCAGCGTGCACAGGTGTCCGGGCTGGGCGCCGGGCACTCTACGCTCTGACAGCTGACAGGGCCACTGACAAGGCGTCCCCTGAGGGCTGCCCGTCCCACCCTCCCTCGCTCAGAGAGCCTGGGGCACAGGTAGCTTCTTCGAGGCAGGGGAGGGACAGGGTGGGTGCAGCCCGGTATGTGCCAGTGTCCGTGCCCCACTTGTGACAGCTGTGGCACTGCTCTGCCCCTCTGGTTTTGGGGCTCCAGTCTGGGTACAGGGGGTGTGGTACCCGCTGCCAGTGCCTTGTGCCCTGGTGATGCTCCAGCTGAGCCTTGGTGGTGCGGCTCAGGGTGGGCCCTGTGCACTCCCAGATGGGGGCAGCTCTCCCCACTGGGTCCCTGTCCAACAGCCAGTGGTCAGCGTATTCCTGCCGTCTAAGGGGCTGCAGCTCAGACTGGCATGCGGCCCTGGGGAGGAGGGGCCCTCTCAGCCCAGCCATGCACCTCCTGTCCTCGGATAACATGGCATCTCTGCAGCCTCAGTTTCCTTAGCTCAAACAGAATCTCCACACAGAGAGGTGCCAAGGCTAAAGTCCCCCGTCACAGCTCTGGATGGCATCCTGGCCAGGACGCAGGGGCTCCCAGGGGTGGGGGTACTCGAGGCCCAGCCTCTGGCTCTTGCCTGTCCAGAGCTGAAGAGGCTGAATCTCCAGGGAAGAGGGGTCTGGCAGGCAGCCTGGGATCCAAACTCATAGGGAGGGCCCAGGGAAAGTGTGAGTCATGTGAGGAGTCAGAGGAGGCAGGTCAGAGATGGAAAGCTTGGCAGAGGGACCCAATGGGCAGGTCAGAAGAAGAGCAGGAAGGGGGAAGATGGGATGAGAGGGAGAGGAGGAGACTAGAAGAACCTGGCAGACACCCCAGAAATAAGCAGGGCATCTGAGGCAGCCTGAAAGCTCACACTGGGACTATGGCCTGGGCCTCTGATAAAGAGGGACCCAACACCCAGCAGACAGAGCTGCCTGAACCCTGGGCTGGAGGCTCCCCAAGATGACATCTAGGAAGGAGAGAGTGGGGTGGAGGAGGGCAAAGGGGCAGTCTGGCCCTGAGGCTTTCAGAAGCAGCAGAGGGGAGCTGCAGTAAGGAAGGCCCAGCCCCCACCCACCAGGGGCCACCTACCCGGCCCCCAACCCAAGTGACTGGACAAGGCCCTTCCTGTTTTCTTGCCCCTTCCCTGCCCTCACATGACTGGGATGCTGTCTGTTCAGCAGCCCCAATTTGGGAAACTGAGTCCTAGAGAAGCAGGGGATAGGCGCAGTTTGGAGAGCTTTCAGTAGCAGAGAGGTCCAAAGAGAGCCTAGAAGCCCTGGCTGACTTTGCCTCCATAGCCAGGAGCCTTCCCTCCCGGAGGTCTTGGCGTCTAAGCTATGCAGGGTGTCAAAGGGCCATCCCCTCCCTGCCCGGCTCAGGCAGCTAGCTAGGGCTCCAAGTTGCCTCCACAGAAAGGAGTCAGGAGACTCCCCTGTCCTGGGCACTAACTGTAACCTGGGCACACTATGCCCTGGGCATGGTCATTCAAGGTCAAAGCCTTTATGGCTGGAAGGCGAGATAGAGTGGCCAGGGCAGGCCAGCACCAAGGGCATGGTGAGTTAGGTGCTCAGGAGCCAGTGAGGACGGGATGGGTGGCGGGGCACCTTGGGGGCCAGGCCTCAGCAGCCCTGGCGGGTGCCAGAGCCTCTTCTTCCCCAGGACCTGTCTTCTGTCCTCAAGGCTGACTCAGAAGTCCCAACTCAGGGACCAGCACATTCATGCCCTTGAGGATGTGCTGGGGCTAGGGAGGGTGACCCCCCCCCCCCCCCCCCCGTGGACCTTGTTGTGTAACGGAGACCTGCAAGCCTCTGACACAACAGCAGTCAGATCTTAGGAAATCCCTGGCTCACTCCCCACCAGGGCTGGCGTGGACAGAAGCAGAGAAGCAGCCTGAAGCCAGTCTGTGGGCAAGAGAGGCATCTACCCTCTGCCAGGGGATCCCCAGGAGCCAAGAATACTAAGGCCCTCACTGAGCTGACCCGATTGGTCCTGTTTGCCCCAAGCTGGGAAGGGCCCCACTGGGGCCTGACCTCCCCGAGAGAGGATAGCCCAGGCAGGGGTGCACCTTAGGGGAGCTGAAAAGGGCCATGTCCATATATGCAGCGTGCAGCGTGTGGGAGCTTAGACATCTCAGGAGAAAGGAAAGGAGGAGTCTTTGGGGCCCATGTGCCTGTTGGCAGTGTCTCAGCTTGGGCCCCAGGTTCTAGGTTAGATGTTGCATCAGGGCCAGCCTGGCCTCATCAGACAAGGGCGAGCCAGGGGTCAGTGCCATGGCTTTTAATGCCAAGGATTTTTGGCATTTCTGGCATGGCCATGGCCTCCCAATGGGACACTTGGGTGGGACTGGTGAAGCAAGGGCCCTGGGGCAGCATCCTGCATGTCAAGGCTTCAGAACAGCCCTTGGTTTGGGCTTTAGGAGTCAGTTGTATCTGAGTTCAGATCCCAGACCAGCTATTTACTGCTCTGCGACCTTGAGCAAGTCCCTCACCTCTGTAGCCTCCCTCTGAGGCAGTGTGCACAGCTGGGGAGCCTGATCTTGGTGAAAGCAGAGTCACAGGTTATTTCTTGGCTTCTGGGGACCATATGCCAGTGGCTTTCTGTCTGAGCTCCTTGCTGCCTTCAGGGAAGTGCCCAGGGCATGGGCACAGGACTGGACTCTCCAGGCTGGGTCGCGTCCCATCACCCCAGCCCCCCAGAAGCCTGGATACTCTGAAGGGTGCAGGGCGGTGCTGCAGGTCCTCCTCTTAACGAGGAGATGGGGACCTTGCAACTTCTTGGCCAGCCTGGTCCAGGGTTTGTGTGTCTCGATGGGGTCTTTCTTGCACCCGGTGTCCACGGTCAGCCTGTGGCTGGCCGTCCCCCAAGAGCAAAGCAGTGACCACCATCCTGCCCATCAGTGACTCAGAAATAAAATCCTTCTCCTACGGATGGAGCAGGTCCAGCTCCTTTTGCCCTTCTACTCAGGATCCTGTCTCCCAGAGGAACCAGGCTCAAGTCCCAGCTCTGCTGTTCCTCCCCGAGGACCCTACACACTCGCTTCCTCTCTGACTTGCAGTGGGCAGGCTGGGTGACAGGGCCTTGGCCAGGCGACAGCTCTTCTGAAGGGTAATTCCACAGAGGTATTTCCCAAGCTCTTGTGCTCTTTACCTTTGTGATTTCTGCCCTATCTGCCTATCATGGTATCTACTGTTTTTTTTTTTCTTTTAAACTCTACTCTTTGTTTTGTTTGAGTAAGTAATTTCAAAAGGAAAGTTTATATCACCGTCGTAAGTGGAAAGCTAGTATCACCTACCATAAATAGATCAAAGTCATTAAAGTACATAATAGGAAAACCAAATAAGGGTATTAAATTCTAGTTGGAAATTTTAGCCTGGGGAAGGCGCTGAGTCTGAAGCCTGCTGCTGTCTTTTACGAAATAATACAGCAGGAATATTGATAAAAAAAGAAAAGATTAGCAAGTGATCAAGAGATGTTTTGGAGGCATAGTGGCATCAAACTGGGACTTTCTCTTTGATGTAATCAGGACTGAGAGAGAATTGAAAAGGGAATGATCTTCTCTCTATATGATTCAATGTTATTTAATGTAAAACCAAAAGTAAAACTACCCAAGTTACAGCTGTTGCCGCTGCCACTGCCTCTGGGCAAGCTGGGCCCTCATTGGCCAATCCATCTGTCCTTCTGGGGAGAGGGGTGGGGCCTCCAGCTGGTACCCGGCTGTCTCTAGTCCCTTGAGAACAGTCAAATGGCCTCAGACCTCTGGTGGCCTGGGTTCAAATCCTGACCAGGCACTTACTGGTGCCTGTGAAGCTCTGGGCAAGCTCCTTAAGCTATCTGTGCTCAGGCCTCCTCATCTGTAAGATGTAGATGGTTCCAACACCTACCTCTTGGGGTGGAGTGGGGGGGATGAAATTATCCATGCAAAAGTGCTTAGAACGATGCCCAGCACAAAGCAGCTACTACCATCACCGCCTCTGAGCCTTCTGCACTGGGAACAGGAGACTTGAATGGGTCCCAAGGGAGCTGGCTAGAGCTGGCCGTGCTGCAGCGCACAATCCTTGTAGGGAGGCCGAGTCTTCGATGGACTCACTCAGAGAAGCTTCCCTGGCCAGGGCCTCTGGCCCAATGCCCAGGCCCTCCCAGGAGCCTCTGTCCCCGCCTCACGGACGCTTTCCCAAGGTGCTGGAAGTGCCGCTTCCTCCCATAGAGCCCACTTCCCCTTCCCGGCCTCCATGGTCCATGTGAATGGCCACTTCCTGCTGGGGCAGGTATCAATAAACACATCTGAGATGTCCTTTGTCCTTGCTGGCCTGACAGCTCCCCGGGGCAGACTTGCTGGCCTCAGCCCCAGCCTGCGCCCCGGGGCACTTCCTTTCTCAGAGCAACTGGGTCCTGAGGGGCCCTGCCTCTGTTTCCCTCTGTGCTCTCATCTTGGACAAAGCTGGGGACAGGGAGCTGGAAGCAGGTCCCATGTCTGTTGGGGGCACCTGTGAGGCCCAGGCCAGGCCTTTTGCATCAAGAGCAGCGGTCACAGGGCACCGTGGGCTGTTTACTGGAAGAGACTGTTTGGGTGGGGATCCCAGGCCACCTCCCAAGGCTAGGTGTTGCCTTGGCAACTGGGGCAAAGCTTACCCTGGTCAGGGAAAATACAGCGCTTGTCCACACCCACCCACTCTCTCACACACCCATCCCGTGCACGCCACGGCCTGCTGGGTGGAAAGAGGCAGAGGTCATGAAAACTGACATCCAAAAAAGGGCGAGCCAAGCGTGAGCTCCTCTGCCCCTGCTCTGGGGGCAGAAATGTGGCCAGAGGCTGCGCCCTGCCTATGGCTGAAGCACCACAGCTACAAAGCTGCAGACACAGGTCTAAATTCCAAGCAATTACTGACCTCTGCCCTCCCCAGGCTCTGCCTTCGGCCTGGCTCATGTTAGAACCTTGCTAAATATTTGTGGAATGAAAGAATGATGTTTTCTGTTTTGGTCTGAGACAGGGGTCAACTCGGGGTCAGTTCCTTCTCTCTAAATAGCTGAGAGCTGAGTGTTAGCCATGCCCGCTGTGGGGAGGAGGCACTTCCTGTTCTAAGGTGTGGATCTCAGCTTAGCCACAGAAGGCTGTGCGGCACTGAGACAGTAGCTTGACTTCTCCGAATCTGTTTCTTGATCTTTAAAGCACAGATGAAAGCCTGGAGTGGTGGCAAACACCTGTAATCCCAGTACCCAAGAGGCTGAGGCAGGAGGATTGCCTCCAGTTTGAGGCCAACCTGGGCTACAACTTAGTGAGTTCAAGGCCAGCCTGAACTACATAGTGAAACCATGCCTCAAAAAAACAAAAAAACGGATGATAATACCCACATGGGGAGGGGTTTAGAATTAAATGAGACAAATAAGTGGTCATGACAGCTTCTCCTCCTGTGCACAGCATTTCAGAGCTGTCAGGGGCCTCAAAACATGGGATCCCTCTTCCCCTCTGGTACTAGGATTTGAACCCAGGGGCTTCACACTGAGTTGTATCCCCAGGCCTTTTTCTGTTTTAAGACAGGGTCTCCTTAACTTGGCTTGAACTTGTGATCTTCCTGCCTCAGCCTCCCAGAGGGCTGAGATTACAGGTGTGTGTGTCACTGTGCCCGCCTATGGGGCATCTCTTAAGTGCAGATGAAGGGAGGACCAGACCCAAGGCCACAGAGCTAAGTGGGCCCTGGGGCCCAGGGAGCTCTCAGTTCAAACCGGAGTTACAGTCCTGAGATCTACAGTTTCCTGGTTCCTAGCATTTGTCATGCGGGTGCCCCTGCACCCTTGCCCAGCGGCAGGTAGGGGCTGAGGTGGGAGCAGGGTTGGGCCCCAAGAGAAGCACAGGGGCCAATGGCCATGTGCTGGGTCCTCTTCCTGGCCCCTGCACCCCTGGCCACCCTGGAGCCAGAGCCCTTCCTCCCCACCCACTTTCCCTGGCTCCAACAATGACCCAGGTGTCCGAAAGGATCTGCTCCTGACAATAAGCAACATCCTCTTGCCAAATAATTATAATTCCAGCCGGGCGATGCTTCCTTGCTGATGTGAGTGCGCAGTGCGCAGGCGTGGGCCCTGTTGCGGCTGGACCCTCAGACATGAGAGCAGAGATGTTTATGGCCAGGAACAGACCGCGAGGACCCCCAGCCTACTCCTCTCTGGCCCCTCTTGCTGGAGACTGAACCCACACCCCTGCTCACCCCCAGGGGAGCTTCTCTTTTTCTAAAAGGGGAAGAGGTCCTGCGGGACCCTGTGGGGTGGTGAGCAGCAGCATGTGTGCGTGTGTGTGGGAGGTGCGGGGATTGAGAAATGCCCCCTTCCTGTTGTCCCCACATCTTGCTCCTCTGTGTTCCCCTGTGGGTCAGGGCTGAGGATCCCTTCCTCACTGCTGTGGTGTAGGCTGGGTTCAAGGGCACCAGTGCTTGGGCTCAGAGAGCTCTCAGCCTGGGGCTCTAACCCCAAACCCCCTCCCTGTTCGTCTGGACCCCCAGCCACCCACCGTTCGCTCTTCTGCCTCCTTAGTGGCTCTGCCCTCACCAGTTTGGCTCAGTGTTCTATTGCATTTTGGTTTTGGTTTTCTAAGACAGGATCACACTATGTAGCCCAGGCTGGCCTTGAACTCACAACAATCCTCCTGCCTCAGCCTCTCCAGTGCTGGGATCACAGGAGTATGCCACCATGCCTGGCTGTGCTCTGCTTCTTGCTTTTGCCTCCACTCCCCACTGCCTGTCCTCTCCACCCAGCCCAGGCCTGCAGTCCTGGCCCCTGCCGAGCCCGCCCTCCTGACAGCCCTGGTGTGTGGGCACATGGGGCATGCGCTGTTGGAGCTGGACTTGGAAAAGCGCGCTGGGAGGAGAGCTGGTGGGAGGCGCCATGTGGGTGCTGGGAGATGTGCCAGGCTTCCCTCTGGGTGGACTGTGGTTCAGCCCCACTTCCTGTATGTGGGGCATGCCTGGGCCCATGACAAGGAGGGAAGTCCAGCTGGCACAGGCAAAGCCGGGCACTGCCAGGTAGTCTGGGGCACTGAGCCTGCTTTGGGGTGAGAACAGGGTGAGCAGCAGGGGACGACTGGTTGTCCTACTCGGCCAGGCTTCTGCAGGGACCCTGGGGGGATCCCCTCCACACTGAGGCTGAGGGTGAACTGGTGACCCTTAAAATGAGGGGCTTGGGCCTTGGTTTCCTCATCAGTGAAATGAGACTGAACATAGTGCCTTGCTGGTGCACTTGTTAGAAGTGTGTGACAATGTAGTTAAATGAGGGCACCCTCAGCCCTGCGCACAGCACGTTGTTTTCCTACAGACCAGACAAGATCCTGCTTGCCTACAGGCCCAGTACTCAGGCTCTGAGTTCAGATCCTCTGTAGCTTCAGCCACACCACCTTCCCCTCTCTGGCCTGTGCTGCTGCCTGAAGAGGCTCCTGGTATGTTGCCAAGAAGTTCTGAAATCTGCTCACCTTGGCAATATCTTTCCAAACACCTGGGGCTCCCAGACACAGCTCCCTGTCCTGCGTGTGCAGAGTGAGGAGAGGCTCTGGTACTTTCAAACCCCACTCCTGCAGACATTCTGGGGCTGTGGCTTTGCCTCTCCTGATACTCTCCAAGGTTAGAATACAAGCTGCTATCAGTCACTCACACCTTAGTGAGAAAGAGTTTGAAGCTGGCTTTTCCATTCTTTCCCCCCACCCCCACTCTTAGGAAATGTTTCTTGAATTGCTGACTGAATCAGAGACCTCTGTTGCTCTCAGGTATCAAATACCAACCACCTACCTAGCAAGGCACTTTCTGAACATTTTGTGTAAATGATTACTAATCTTTGATTCAGTTCTACCAGGTAGATGTTTTCATTTCTGGGTTTCAGTGAGGGTTCTGAGCTCAGAGTCTAAGTGACTCAGAGCAGCCTGGTCCAACTACAGAAGCTCTAGGCTGCCTCCCTCTGACTGGGCTTTCTGCTCTCCTGCTGATTCCCAGCCTGCTGCCGAGGGGCCTGGGCTCTGAGGGCAGGGAAGGAGCATTATCTAGACTCTAGGGCAGTGATGGTGAACCTTTTAGAGACCAGTGCCCAAATTGCAACCCAAAGCCCATTTATTTATCACAAAGTGCCAACACTGCAATTCAACCTGAATACTGAGGTTTTAGTTTAGAAAAAACAACTCATACATTAACATATTCTGTCTTAAAGCAAAAATAAATAACATGCGTGCTATAGGTTCGGCACCACTGGTCTTGGGTCTCTGTGATGCTCCTGGCTATTGGAGGCCCCAGAGGGCAATGAAATAAAGACCTGAGATGTACAGCTGTCCCCTGAGTGTCTGCAGCAGGGATTTGTGCTCCTGCCCCCATCCTTCCCTCACTTGGTCCTCAGGACCCTGTGCTGTAGCTTGTGTTCTTTCCACCACACTGGGGAGGAAACAGGCTCACATCTCCAGAGGAGCAGGGGCTCCACCCCAGTGTTCTCTTTTCTGAGGCTTTAGGAGGCTCAACATGGTGAAATGGTGGAAGAATGGGTTAAAGAGGACCAGGAGGAGCAGTTGTGGTGGCATACGGCTGTAATCCCAGCACTCGGGAGGCTGAGGCAGGAGGATTGCCACAAGTTTGAGGGTGGGCTACATAGACCCTGTCTCAAAATAAAATAAACAAAAAAGAGGACCTGGGGATTGCTTCATTTGCTTATCAGGAAACAAAACAAAATAAAAATCCTGAAAAACTAGGATATGGCTCTAAGGTTAGGAGAGATCTGGGGCCTGGGAACATCCCTGTCCCTCTGGTGCCTTGGGTCCCCCGCAGCCCAAGCTTCCCTGCCACCTTGCTTGGAGACACTCTCCACTTGCTGAACTCCATCTGTCCATCAAGTCGAAACCCTTCCTCCTTCTGGCAGCGCCCTGACTGTCCCCAGAAGGCCACTGCCCTCCTCCTCCAGTGCCCTGAAGCCTGGCACTGGTTTCCCTTTGCCCACAGGGTTACAAATGCAGGCCATCAGCTCCCAGGGGACCAGCCTTTCACGTGCACATGCTCTGCCAGTGCCCAGGGCCCTCTGCTGGGGAGTGGCCAAGGCCAAGGTCCCTGCTGCTGTGAGAATGCTAGGCAGGTGACAGACTCTCCTTTCTCCAAGCAGGTCTGGTAGCAGCCTTCAAGGTGGCCACACCATATTCCCTGTACGTGTGTCCTGAGGGGCAGAATGTCACCCTCACCTGCAGGCTCTTGGGCCCGGTGTCCAAAGGGCACGACGTGACCTTCTATAAGACATGGTACCGCAGCACGCGGGGCGAGGTGCAGGTGTGCTCTGAGCGCCGGCCCATCCGCAACCTCACGTTCCATGACCTTCACCTGTACCACGGAGGTCACCAGGCCACCAACACCAGCCAGGACCTGGCCCACAGCCATGGCCTGCAGTCAGCCTCCGATCACCATGGCAACTTCTCCATCACTATGAGCAACCTGACCTCGTGGGACGGTGGCCTGTACTGCTGTCTGGTGGTGGAGGTGCGGCACCACCACTCAGAGCACAGGGTCTACGGGGCCATTGAGCTGCAGGTGCAGAGAGGTGAGGTGCCCATGGGACCCCTAACGCTATCTGATTCTGAGACTGTGTGTGGCGCTGTGCTGGACAGTGTGTGACCGCATGGGTGACGCTGGTGCTCTGGAGTGTGTGCGTGGGAGAAGGGCTGGCCGTGTGCAGGTGTGACATGTGGTTTGCTGGTGTGATGGAGAGGGAGTGTGTGGGCCCGACTGTGACCAGGGGACTCGTTCACTGAGCAGTGCACAGACCCGGGCTGGGAGTGTGACTCCACTAATGACACCACGGGTGGCCGTGCAGGGTGTGGGCCTGAGTTGGGATGGCTAACTTCTCCATGGGAATGTGTGTGCCCTGCTGAGAACATGGGCCTGGCGGGCTGCACAGAGCTGTGGGAGCCACAGGTCCCCACTTACCTCGGGGATGAGAACATGCCAGGCTGTGTGTGTGTGCATGCAACCATGTGTGTGTACATGTGTGCAGGCTCCTGATGGCTGGGCAGGCAGCAGCATGCGTACCTGTCACAGGTGGGGGACACTGGCCTGGACAAGTGTCCCTGGCCTGCTGGGCCTGACACCCCGTAATGGGCCTTCTCTTTGCTCCCGCAGGCAAAGATGCACCATCCAAATGCATCACGTACCCGTCCTCCCCCGAGGACAGTGAAAGTAAGTCCCATCCTCTTGTCTCTCTGGGTCCTCATCCTTGACCTTGACCCCTTCCAACCTCTGACCTCATCACCCCACATGTGGGATCCGCCACCACCCTTGCTGCTCCCATCCCCTTTGCTTCCTCCTTGGCCACAGCCCCAGAAGCCCACTCGCCTTCCAGCTCCGGACCCCAAGGGGCCGCTCCCTCTATGCAGCAGGCGTCACCAGCTGCACTCTCCAGATGTGGAAACAGAGCCCCAGAGAGGTGGTGCAGCTTGCCCAAGCTCACACAGCCCAGGGGGACAGCTGGGATCTGGCTGTGGGCCTGCCTGGCTCTGCTCACCTCTCCTTCTTTCCAGCTCTGGGGGAGATGGGGCACAGGGGTGGAACAGTAGGTGCTGTCACCCAGTGTTTGCCGCCCCGAGAGGGGCTCTAAGGGGAAGGGGGCCCTAAGGCTCTGAGGAGGGCTGGGTGCTCAGGTCAGGTGAGAATGCCCAGTGGCCTGGGGACAACAAGCAAGGCCATGTGTTAGGGATGCCCTGCTCTTCTGAGTGGAGAGGGCCCCGGCTTCCACATCCTTCTAGCTGCCCGGTACCCATCAGGCATCTGGTGCAGACCAGCCCCTACTGAGCCCTGAGATACAGAGGGACAGCTGTGTCCCTGGCCTCCAGGGGACACCCATGAGGGCCTGAGCCAGAATGGGGCCAGCCGACTGGCAGCCCCCAGTCAAGCCTGTGTTGACTTTTTATTCCAACTACCCACTTTTCCAAAACAATGAACAGAATGTCCAGGAGCAGGCACAGAGCATGCACTTCAGCCTGAGCCAGGCCATTGCAGGGCTTGAGGGTCCCCTTGGCACAAGCCACTACCTGTCCCCACTTCCCTCTGCGAGGCTGCTTCCTTCCCATGCAGCAGCTCATGACTTGTGCACACGCGTGCATTTATGAGACAGGGCAGCCCTGCTGGTGGGCATGCACAATGGTCACTTCCTCATGGTACCTTTGCTCTGAGCAAATGCCAGACTCACTTCTTCTTCTGATCTTTTAGGGCTCCAAGGCCCTCGCAGACTGTCACCTCCACCTCTGCCCCCGTGTCACAGGCAGGGAAGCCCAGGTTGTGGCAGGTGAAGGGATTCGTTCCGGGTCTCTCAGCTCTAGATCCAAGGATGTCAGACCACCCGAATCACAGAGTGCACACCCTGCCCGAGGACCAGCCGCCTCCCCTAGGGTCAGCATGGCTTTGAAAATAAGCCACGTGATTTCAGTCCTGGGGACAGAAAAACACGCGATGCCAAAGGGGATGATGCTGGAGAGACCAGGTACAGAGCAGAGAGGATGTGGCGACTCTAGGGGAGGAATCCAGGGGAGGGGAGCACTGGGAAGTCCCAGGGTGGTTAGAGCCCCTCCCTGGCAGGGAGAAACCTTGAACTTAACCACCAGGATGAGCAGGCTTCCGCTGCCGGCTCCTCTGCCCTTGGGTGTTGACATTTTCACCCGTCAGGGCTGTGGAGCCTCCCTCTGTCCCCTCCTTCCCTAAGCTGCTATCCAGTGAGGCTCCTTGAGGACCAAAGGGACATGCTTGCTTCTGCCACCCCAGGTGAGAGCAAGGGCATGGCTTTGATGACCTCAGATGTCCCCTTCCAGATGCCTGGTTCTGGTAGCATAGATGCTTGGCACTAGGGCAGAGTTGGTTCCAGGTGAGAAAACCTGGCCGCACTTTGGGATGGGGCCTGGGGCTTTGGGCAGCACGGCCACCCTCTGGGTACCATTTCCCCACCTGGCATCAGAGCAGATGCGTCCCTTTTCTTCTACCCAGGAGGCAGCAGTGAGTGTTATCCAAGGGGCTCTTTCATGCCCAGGGCCAGGGTGCTGGTGGGTGAGACAGTAGTGAGGGATGGGGACCTCTGTGAGTGCCCCAGGCCAGTCCCAGCTGCTGTGCATCAGGGTGGGGGCCCAGGGTTGCCGGCACCACTCAGTTATCAAGGAAAGCCAGAAATTAGACTTTATGGGAACTCTCAATTTTGACATGTTGGCAACTAATAAAGAAAATGAAGTCCTCGAAGGCCCCGGTTCTAGTGAGTGGGTTCTAGTGAGAAGCAGTGCAGGGAAGTGGTTAACAGCAAGGCCCCGATGGCAGCCAGGCTGCCGACCCTCCCTGTGCCTTACTTTGCTCATCTGTCAGGGGAGCTGATGATCCGAATAGGGTTGCCTTGCAGGGTGCTTACGAGGCTCACAGGAGGCATCTATTGCACGTGAAGCGCTGAGAGCCAGGCCTGGCTTATGGTAGGTGCCTGCAGGTGTGGGCTATTGTTGCTTCTTGATGTGGACTTCTATCCCTGACCTCTAAGTCTATTCACCCTTCCCCTGTGCCAAGGCAGGATGGCAGGTAGATGGTAGCAGATAGTGGAAATGGTCCAGTTTCCTAACGGTTCTAGAGCCATTTGCCTGGTGACCGGTGTGACCTTAGAGCTGGATGCTGGGTGCACTGCCACTCACTTTTGGAAAGATCCCAGGCCCCGCTTGCTCTAAGACTGTGCTGCACAGCAGCCTGGTGCCCGATCCGTGAACAATGCTGCTAGCCAAGCAGTTTGTTGAGTTTTCCTTGTCTATCTAACTTCAGCCAAGTCTCTCAATATTCTCTTTGGGACACGGGAGAGTAGCTAGGCTAGGCAATTAAGTCAAAGTCCAAAGGCCCAAGGCCCAAGGGTGCAAGCCAGGAAAGTTGGTCCCCAGGCAGCCCCTGTTGCTCAGGGTTTTTCACTGGGCCAGGGAAGCAGGCTGGGCTGGGCAGCCCATCTCTGTTGCCCCTTCCCACTGACCTAACAGGGAGCTCCTTCCTCCACATGTACCTACGGGGAAGCTGGCAGCCCTGGACAAAGACCAGCTGAGCAGGCTGGGCACACTTCCCAGGCTGGTGTTGGCCTCTGGCTCCTCCAGCGCCTGATCACCTTCCCAGGATGAGCCTGGCCTGAATGGTGAACAAGCAGGCCCTCTCTCTCTAGGGAATGCCAGCCCAGGCCCTGGCCGTGCCTGGGGAGAGCTGTGGCCAGGCTGGACTCTGCAGAAATGCCCATGGTCTCAGAGGACAGCTGAGGTCTCCAAAGCCCTGTTCCCTGCCCCAGCCGCAACTCTCAGCCATAGTTATAAGGAAACCTCAGGCTCTCAGAGCAAAACCCAGTCTTGATCCTCTGGAGGGGTTGCCAAGGAGGGGACACAAGTCAAGCAGGGAGATCTGCCCGAGCCTCCTAGGCAGGCAGAATTAGTGAGCACCTGGAGAACCGCACTGAATGTTGCATAGTGACAGTCAGAAGAGACCTGTTTTGATGACCAGAAAACAGTACTCTGCCACCAGCTCCTCAGATATCGCCCTCAGTGAGGTCTTTGATGAGGTTTAGCAGTACCGAAGCACCGGAGTGACAGAATGTTTTTACTTTCAATATTCCACGTTCAAATGCAGCCTTGCTAAGACCTGCAGGGAACCTGCTGTAATGTGGAGCGGAACTCACTTTGTAATTAGCCCAGCAACTGTTCCTGTACTGATGGGGACTTCTAAAGTGCTTGAAAACTGTTTGTTCTCTTCTGCCATGTGAAGAAACCCCCTGCAAGTTGTTTATACCACCAGGTTGTTTCGCCATACAACTAGATAAAAATGGCCTTTCTTCCCAAAGTACAAAAGCAACATTTAGACCCTGGCCCACCCTATCCAAAAAGCTCTCTGGGGCAAAGCTGACAGGGTGACAAGGTATCCCAGCTGTCTTTTGGCCCAGAGATGGGCTTAAATTGGGAAGGAAATTCGTCTACCCTGGTTGTGGTTCCAAAAGCTCTTCTGTTCCCAGCTAAAGCCCTAGAGTCAGCAGATGGACTGAAATAAATCAAACCCCCATTCTGCTGGGACCTGGAAGTGGTATAACCATTTCTGAGGGCAATTTAGCAATAGCCTAAAAGAGAACCCACACTGTGCTCTTTGGCCCAGCACTTCGAGTGCTAGGGATTTATGGCCTGAAGCGTTTGCCTGAGTGGGCAGGGATGCCACGTAAGGAGTTCACTGCTACCTCATCAGTCATGTGGGGAAGGAAGCCGGGAGGGGATGCTTCGCTTGGTCAGGCTAAGATGTGTGTGATGAAGCCCTGAGCAGGGTGAGGTGGCTCTGTGCCCACAGAGAGGGATGTCCACACTCGGCCCATCCAGTGGGAACCGCAGTTGGCAGATGGTTCACATCTGCTAGAAATGCAGGGGATGGGTCTGGATGGACATGGGACAGACTGGACATCTGTGATCTCCTGGAGCGGCCCCGAGAGGAGGCAAAGAAGGAGACTTTTGAATATTTTTTTCACTTGTACTTTTTTGTAATTTAAACTTTAAAAATGTCACCAGGCCCGATGGTGCATACTTGTAATCTCAGCACTCAGCACGTGGGGCAGGAGGATCGCTGTGAATTCAAGGTCAGCGTGGGTGATATAGTGAGCTCAAGGCTAGTGTGAACTACATAGTGAGCCTATCTCAAAACAACAAAAATTAAAAGTGGCAAACAAAGGCGAACATTTCTCTAGTTTGCTGTTCTAAGTGTTTTTCCTCCATGACTTCTGTGGTTTCTAGGGGCCCAGATCTACAGGTCTCATGGGGTTGGCTGGGACTGTTTATTTTTTATTGAGGTAAAATATATGAATACATGACATAAATGTCCATTGAACTATCTCTAAGTGAGTGTGCCACTCAGTGGCATGTGATTGAATCAGCTTCTCAATGCTGTACAATCATCACCGCTGTCTAGTTGTAAGACATTTTCATCCTCTGACCTTGAACTCTGTGGCCTAGTTTCTGTGAAGAGTCTGCTTCCTTTTTCGGGGATAACCTGTGGCCCTGGCTTGTCCAGCTGTCACTTGGGTGTGGAGTGAGGAGGCTGCGCTCTCCTCCCTGGGGCTGCTGCAGCTGCAAGTCACAGGTCTGGCTTCTCTGTGCTCTGGGGCCCCCTGGGGAAGCACGGGGCTCCCCAGACCTTCTGCGCATCTGCAGGTCCCTTGAGGGTCTGGTGGCAGGTCCCTCAGTGAAGGTGGGTCCCCAGCTGTCTGGCCTCTCCTCTCTGGGCCTCAGTTTCCCCCCTGCAGCAGGAGCAGCAGGAATGGGGCCTCATCCTGGCTGCTTCTCTGCTCTTACAGACATCACAGCTGCAGCCCTGGCCACGGGTGCCTGCATCGTGGGAATCCTCTGCCTGCCCCTCATCCTGCTCCTGGTCTACAAGCAGAGGCAAGTGGCCTCACACCGCCGTGAGTATCTGTGAGCTGTGCTGTGTGTGTGTGTGTGTGTGTGTGTGTGTGTGAGTGAGCATGCAAATGTAACCTGCTCTGCCTAGCCCCTGGGTCAGCAAAGGCACCTGGCAGGCACTGCGTCTCTGCTCCTCACTATGTTCCCTTCAAGGAGTGAGAAGAGGGACCAGGCTTGAGTGCCTGCCAACCATTTTGGGTCCCAGGCAATGCTGGCTTGGTGCTCAATCAATAAAAAGTACCTGTTGAATGAATGATCACATGTTGTAATAGGAACAGCTCACATTGGTTTATAAAAATGCTGCCCCTCCGAGATCCTTTGGGGGCCTGCTTTCATGTGTGGGTGTGTTTGTTTTGTAATTGGTAGCAAGTACTGGGACAAAAACATGATTTTTGGCCAGGTGTATAGGCTCATGTCTGAAATGCCAGACTTGGGAGGCTGAGGCAGGAGGATAACTGAATTCAAGGCCAGTCTGGGCTACATAGTGAGTTCAAGGCTAGCTTGAACTACACAGTGAGTGAGATGCTGTCTCAAAAAAGAAAAAAATTAAAAATAACTTTTGGCATATCAGAAGTGGGAGGGATCTTAGAGATAACTTTGTTCAGCCCTTTTTTAAAATTAGCAAGCTAATAATTAACTGAATGTTACATAACTCCACCTGCCAGCTTCCCACCCTTTCTCTGTCTGGGGGATCCAGTGTCACCATGTAACAACAATGCTCACTGGCCACCAAGCCCTAGTGGATGGGGTTGCTATGCCAGGCTCTATCCCAAGCTGGTCACATGCATTCACTTACTTAGAACTCAGCACAACCCCCAGCATTTGGTTCTACCATTATCCCCTTTTACAGATGAGTACACTGAGGCTCAGAGACATTTTATAACACGCCTGAGAAACCATACAGCAGCCCAGCATGGTGGTGGACTCCTGTAATCCCAGCACTTGGGAGGTTGAGGCAGGAGGACTGCTGCAAGCTTGAGGCCAGCCTGGGCTACACAGTCAGTTCAAGACTGGCCTAAACTATATAACGAGACCCTGTCTCAAGAAAACAAAACAAAGGGCCAGGGATTTAGCTCAGTGGTTCTGCCACCTGCCTCGTAAGCGCAAGGTCCCAAGTTTGATCCCTGGTACCAAAAAACAAAAACAAAAACAAAACATGAAACCATACAGAAAATAAGTGGTGAAGCCAGGGCTCAAAATCCTGGCCACAAACACCTTTCACACCCTCCTTCTGGGTGATAGTACCCCTCCTCTGACCCCACCTGGGAGCCTGAGTCTGCTGAGGGCAGGAGGCTGAGCCCTATGCCCTGGGGGCTCCTTCCTTGGCCCCTGGCCTCTGCCTGGCTGTGTGGGGGCACCAAGGGAGGACTGCTGTCCCCCGGGCACCCCTGATTTCCTTGACTTCTATCCACGCTACTTCCCTCCTGAAGCCCAGGCTACAGCCCCACAGTGGGTCCTTGGGGCTTGCGGCTGCTTTCCCCTTGCTCTCAGAGCTGCCCTATTCCCCTCACATACCCCAGAGCCCACCCACAGGAGTCCTGAAGGTGGCAGGGGGGCAGGTGTTGGGGTGAGAGCAGAAGAGCAAGTCAAGTGCCCAACACCAGGGTTGCCAAGAGCTGCTGCTCTTCCAAGGCTGGCAGGGCACGAGCCCCCTGCCCCCCAGCTCCCAGAGCCAGAGGTGGTTTCTGTGCACTTCACTCCAGACCACAGCACTGCCTGGTCATGTGGTCAGAACAGGGAACAGGAACTGGAAAACAAACACGTACTGGGTGGAGGATGTGTGCGTGTGTGTGTGTGTGTGTGTATATCCTCTGCTCCTTCCTAGTCCCTGCTCCACCAATGGCTCTTGTGGGGAAAGGGGATGGTGAAGGAAGCACAGCCAGAGGGGACAGCCCTGGCTGAGAACGCTAGAGGGTGTCCTGAGGACATGGGGGCAGGGTGGGTCCTACTCCAGCAGCACGACACCTTCAGGCTAAGTGATGGCTCCCTGGGCTCCTGGGAGAGTCCCAGTCTGGCCCCAGGAAGACATAGAACTGGACTGAGAGGTGTGTGTGGGTGCAGCGCAATTAGGGGTGCATCTTGCCCTGTGTTCCGTGTGTCCCTGGAACTCTGAGTGACACTGTTCTGGAGCCACCAGCCACTTCTCAGACCCTCGTCCCTCATGTAGTATGTGCAGTAACAGAGTGGGAGCAATCAATTATCTTCTTGTAAAAATGCTTTTGGGGTCAGTCCCCTCTCCTCCTCCAAAAGAGAATTTAAAAAGGATAAAAGATTGTTATCTGATTTCAGTCTTAGGGACAGAGACATGAAATGCAAGAGATACCATGTGCAAAATGGAGAGGGAGGGAAGCCTGGGGCCATCTCTCTCCAGCAGGTTCTAGAGAAGCAGCTGCCCCTGGGGCTCGGGAACAGAAAGATCCCCGAGACTAGTTCCAGGGTGGCAGGTCAGAGAGGTGTGCAGTGTGCTCTGGCAGGAAGGTGCTGGGATCCTGGCCTGGAGAGATGCTCAGGAATGGGCCACACTCGGGGCAAAAGGAAAATAAGGAGCTGGGGGCATGGAGGGAGGCACTCCGACTTTAGATTGTGACTCAGTTTCTCCAGCTCCAAAGTGGGACCCCAGACAGTGGTGGAGAGGCTGAGGTGAACAAACACATGTTGCACACCGCATGAAGCCTGACACAGAGCAGCCCCTGTAAACAGGGGCCACAGTTCTAGTAGATTTTAGGAACTTGGTGTAACTTCCCCGAGTACGAGTTTCACAGTGCCCCTCCCCCACTCCATTTCCCCATCTGCCCTCTGCAGCGAAGCTCCTTAAAGTGAGCAGGGTCTGCAGGAGGAAGACTTGGGAGCTGCAAGAAAGAGGGAAGTTGGGGGCCCCTGCATCTGGCTGGTGGCCAGTTTGGGGGGTGGGGAACCCCAAGGGGCAGGCAAGGCCACCCTGGTATGAATGAGGAGTGGAAAGAGTGTGACAGCTGGGAAGTGACCTCTAAGCTTGGTTCCCTAAGGCCCCTTGAGAGATGTCAGCTCTATTAGGCAGCATGGAGGATGAGGCGGAGAGGACCCTCTAGGAAATGACCTTGAACACCCCACCCTTAAGTCATGGCTGAAGTCTGGAATGGGGCAAGTGTCCAAACAGAAAACCACACTTAGCAATTCAGGAGCCCTGCCTCGGGTTGATTGCAGATGCTGAGGGTCTGTCTGTGTTATGTGAGCCATGGGAGAAAGTGTGGACCGCCTTTGGCTTATTATGTACACTTGGAAAATAGAAACTGAGTTTCATTTATTCACAAAGTGGGCCACTTGCCAGTGGCCATCTGCAGTGGAGTCCCTGTCCGGGCAGGGCCTGCTGGACAGGTTCTGCTCCCGGAGGGGCCTCTGCTAGCAGGGGCCAGGAAACCTTCCTGTGATCGGCTTCTCTGTCTGTCCTTAGGTGCCCAGGAGCTGGTTCGGATGGACAGGTAAGGCCCACAGAGACTTACATGGCAGTGAGGGTATATTTCTGTGCGGCAGGGGCCCTGCTCAGCCACCAGCACCGGCCGCTGGGTTTGGATGGGCAGATACTGAAACACTTAAAGGGGGCCCAGCAAGCCCAGCCCCAGCCGGAGGGGTGGCTCCTCCCCAAAGGGCCTCCAGGCAGGGGGGCAGATGCTGAAGGGCATCTCCACTCTGGGCTGGCAGCTGGCTGCAGGAAGAGCTCAGGAACAAGCCACACCCAGACCTCGGCCTCTGTCTGGCAGCAGGGAGCCCAGAACTCCTCTATTTGAAAAGGATGATTTCTTTTTTTTTTTTTCCTTTGGTACTGGGGATCGAACTCGGGTCCTTGTGCTTGCGCAGCAGGCGGCGAAACCACTGGGCTAAATCTCCGGCCCTTGAAAAGGATGATTTCTAAGACATGGGTCAAAGGAAATATTGCTAGCCATCCTGCCAGAATCTCAGAGTTGAGGGGTCCTTCACAGGTTCCCCCCTTCTCAAGTGGGAAGAGAAGAGAACCCATGCACTCAGCTCAGAGAGCTCTAGGGACACTCGCCCCAAATGCCATTACCCTTGGCTCTAGCCTCTGAGGCTGGTGTTTGCCTCTGATGTGTGCAGATGGTAAGACCGAGGGAGGAAAGGCAGCCAGTCTGGTGGCTGTCCTGGTGCCCTGAGCTCAGGGAGGGGACAGAGTGCAGCTCACACCTTTCTCCTGCTGGGATGAGGGGACTGGAGGAGAAAAGGGGGAGAGAGGGAAGGCGGGAGGGCAGAAGCTGTACCCCATCCTGGCAGCACAAGTGACCTTCCTTTCTGGCTCTCTAGTGCCATCCCCCAGGGAATTGAAAACCCCAGCTTTGAGGCCTCTGCACCTCCCCAGGGGATGCCCGAGGCCAAGGTCAGGCCCCCTCTGACCTACATGGCCCAGCGACAGCCTTCCGAGTCTGGGCGGCACCTGCTGTCTGAGCCCAACACTCCTCTGTCTCCTCCAGGCCCTGGGGACGTCTTCTTTCCATCCCTGGGTGAGTATTTCTGCAACCCTGACCTGTAAGGTCATGACCCCAAGGTCTGCAGGCCACTCTCCTTGGGAAGTCGTCACAGACTCATGGTGCAGGGTTGAGGGTTAAGGGGCAGAGAACCTCCTGCTTACTTTGCCTCTCCTTCCTTTTGCAGAGCCAGTCCCTGACTCCCCACATTCTGAGGTCATCTAAGCCAGCTTGGGGGACAGTGGGCAATGCTGGCTGGATCTAGGGCATTTGAGCCAGGGCCGGCCCTGTGACTGGCTCCCTTGGCCTCGGCCTTCACTTGGCCTCCATCCTCCTGCACTGAGCCCAGACTCTGCTTTACCCCAGCTGCCTGGATTTTCTACCTTCTAGATGCTACAAGGGGGAAGGGAGAAGATGCTGGATCGCTCACCCCTGTCCCAAGGATGCTGGGGTGCTCAATCCCCTTAGGACCAGAACTTCACCAGCTACAGATGCCAAATGACCTTCAGCCTAAGAAGTCTCCAGATTTCCAGCTCTACAGCAGCCTCTCTCTCTGGGACAGGAGTCCTGGGACCTGGCAGCACAGACAGGACAAGGAAGGCACTGGGCAGGCCCTCCAGTGCCACCCTCCCAAGCATGAGACATGGGACCGCATGTGGAGAGATTCTTGCCCACTGGGATTGGCCTGGCTGCCCTGTCCCCACCAGGGAGGCTTCTCTGTTGGCCACACTCTTTGTACCCATGGGGCCTCTGAGGCTGGGCCTGCCAGTCCCCCACCATGGGAGCTCCTTGAGCTGCCTTTCTCTAGCAGTCTTTGTGGATCTGTCAACAGGTTGTGCATCTGGGGCTCCCACTGCCTGCATTCCGGTCCCCAGAGTTCAGTGTCCAGAGGCCCTGAAGCAGGAAGTACATAGTGGGGACAGTGGCCCACTGTGAGCCAACTGGCATCTTGGGCAACTTGAAGCCAGGCCAGAGATTGTGCCACCCACTGCAGAGGGTGCAGAGGGAGGTGGGTGGGGCCTGCTGGGAAGGTGAGAGGAGAGGTCCCTCCCTCCCTATCCCCTGCTCCAGGGCTCGGTGTGGGCAAAAGCAAGGGTGACTGCATAATGTCTTGTCCATTCCAGGACACTTCCAAGTGCTAAAAGGGTGTGCTATTAAAAACTACACGGGCAACAGATGCAAGCTGGCAAATGAATTGGAGGGACCAGATCTGCCCCTCTCCTCTGGTTCTGATGTGATGTGCAGAGGCCTGGGAACCCCTGCACCTCCTGCTTTGGGCTTCTGTTTGCATCAGGTTTTTTTTGGTTTTGGTACCTGGGATCGAACTTGGGACCTTGCGCTTCCAAAGCAGGCAGCAAAACCACTGAGCTAAATCCTGGGCCCAGCTTTGGGCTTCTGTTCCGCTGTCACCTCAATGTGCCCTGAGTGGGGGGCTGGTACTGGGACAGAGACATGTTCGTTCTTGCTCAGTTCCTGGACTCTCACAAGGGTCTCCCTCGGCAGGGCATGACCTGGGTTTGTTTTTATATCTCATAAAGGGGAGCTGTTTGTGAAACTGCCATTGAAGGGTTTAAAGCACAGGATAGAACTGGGGTACAGGGTGGGGAGGCTGGGCAATTCCCCTCCAGCCCCCGAGCCCTGGGCGCTATGGAGAGCCAGTGTGGGCATGCATGGCCCAGCCGCCTCTGCTGACTGTGCAGAGGCTGAAAACCAGGACTGGGGACCAGGACTGGGGGCCAGCATGCATGGGGAGAAGGCTGCCATGCCCAGGCTAGAGGGGTGGGAAAGGGGAGCAGCTTGGGGCTGCAGGTGTCCAGCCACACCCTCAGGTCAGCCCCACAGGCCTTGGCCATGGATAGAGGGCATGTGCTGTGCCTGCAGCTGGGGGCAGAGGCCTTGAGCAGAGAGTAAGCATAGGTCTCATGGCAGGAGTGACACCAAACCCTGCTTCCTGCTTTGACCCCAGAATCTCTTCTTGTACTCCACCTGCTGCCATGAACATTTCACACAGCCACAGACAGAGTGAACTGTTCTCCCAGCTTGTGGGGGCCCTCTAGGCAGGAGTGGGGAGGTGACACTTGTTTTGTGGCAGGATTGTGCTACCCTAGGGTCCAAGGACAAGCCACAGACCCTCTGTGCTCCCCAGCTCAGGAGGAGTGTGACCTATTCCCTGGGGAGGGTGGTGTGGGGCCAGCCCTCAGACACAGAGATGATTTCTATGAATTTGGCTGCCAGACCCTGGGCCTGGCTGCTGCCGTGTGAAGGGAGGTGGCCCCTGGTGGAACAGCCACCACACTTCCTGCCCTGCTTCCTCCTGCACTCTTCTTCTCTGACCCTTGCTAGTGAATGTATCTTGGGCTTCCTGGTTTCCTGTTTTCAGTGAAATTTACTCTGAGTTCCAAGCTCCATCTTCATCCATGGCGAAGGGCCCTGCCTACTGCCACCCCATGGACAACCCCCTTGCTGATTCTGGGAACAGGGAGGGCACTAGAACAGCTCTCCGTGTCACCCAGGATGGTAGGGCCTCTGAGATGCCATCCCTGGTGGCTGTGGGCTGGGGGACGTGGGACAGAGTCAAGGGCATGAAAATGCAGTTTCCAAGGAGGGAGGGGAGTCCAGGGGGCCAGGAGGAAGTTTGCTGTTTAACAGGGAGGCTCCAGGGGTACTGGCTTCCTGGTATTATCGGTGGGCCTGGGAGGGACATCTGTGCCTTTAGGAACGCACTCATTGTTAGGAGAGCAATCAGGAATTGGGGATGTCTTACCCAGCTCTGGACATTCACATACAGTTAAGATGTCCCAGGGAGAAGCTGAGGGACAGGGACTGGAGGCTCCCTTGGCAGAGGTTTGCCAGCCCAGGAATGGCTGCTGGACATACCCTGGAGCCCCTGGTGGCTGTTGCTGGTCAGGCTGCCCCTGCCTAATGGTGATGGACCCTGGGTGGGTGTGCAGGACCCCTGGAACCTGCTTCTCAAAAAGATCAGCCCTGGGACTGCCCTTACTCCTGCCTGGCCAGAGCTCCCCTGCATACAACAGCTCGGACCCTTGGTCTTCCTCAGGGGATGCTCCTGAGGGGCTAGCACTGCCCCCAGCCTGGACACCTGAGGCCTTCCTGGTGGAGGAGGGCTTTCTGGGTGTTAGCTGGAGCCCTCCTGAGCTGACCTGGCTGTTCCTGGGGGTGGGCTAAGAATTGCTCAGGGAACCACAATAGACGAAAGAGGAACCGGGTTGTCTGCCAGGATGCTGGTTGCAAAGCTTTCTTGAAAAAAGACCTGGCCCAGTGAGTGGCTGTCCCAGCCCACAGAGATGGTTGACTGTCCGGACACCCCTGCTTTGCATGGTCACTTCTCCTCCCACCCCAGTGAGTGCTGCGTCTGAGTTCTGGAAGGATATGGCTTGATACTAGCCTGGCCTTTGGACTTGGGTGCAGAGCGGATAACTGATCCACAGCCACTGGGTAATGGGCTGAACCAGGATGCCAAGGCTCTGTCCTGGACCACTCACATCACCCAGGGCTGCTTCTGATCAAGAACCACCTTCTCATGTTCCTAGGAGCTTCCTCTGGCCTGGTGGGATCTCCTCTGTGGCACTGATACCCAAAGCTTGTATAAGCCAGGGGGAAAGATGTTTTGTTTGGTTTCTCAATTCTCGTCTACAGGTATGGCCTTCTGAAATACATGTTGAGAGGAATTCTGAGGTATTAATATGGCTTAGGGAGAAAGTTCTGAGATCAGCTAGCAATGCCTGCCTTGGGCATAGAAAAGGAAGTTGTGGTATGTGTGCCATGTCTTTCAGTATGGCTTCCAAAACTCTTTCACCTGTGTTACCTGTTTGATTCCCCCTGCCCTCACTCCTAGGAGGCTTTATTTTTCCCATTTAATGTGGTGGGAAACTAACATTCTGAAGGACCTGTGTTTTGTCAAAGCAAGTGAATGGTGGGGTTAATGCTTGGGTCTCCTGCTTCCCAGGCCTGTGCTCCTTACCTTCTCTGAATAGCTATAGGTCAGGGCCTGGTGAGGCCTTCACCTTGCAGCACACATCAGAGTCCTAAGAGATGAACCTCTGCCCCTAAGTTCATGGTTCCACCTCCCTCCACACCAAAGTGTGCCTTTTTGTGCCTTGCCTGTCCTGATCTTTCTCATGCTTTCTCTCATGCTTTCTCATGTCTCCTTCTGCATCAGCTCCCTGCTGGGTGGCCAGGAAGTCAGAAGACTTTCGGTTGGCATGATGCCCACACACCCTGCTTGCCTGCTTGCATCAGGGGATGGGGAAGGGAGAAACCCTCAGGAACCACTGAGCCCCAGGGTCACATGGAGGAACTCAGGCATCTGGATGTGTATTTTCTGAGTAGCTGCAGGATGTCCTACTGGAAAAAGGGCAAGGCCAAGGCTCTGGGTTCCCCATGCTGGTGAGAAGACCGGCTACTTTTTTTTTTCTTTTGGTACCGGAGATCGAACTCGGGATCTTGCGCTTGCAAGGCAGGCGCCGGAACCATTGAGCTAAATCCCCGGCCCCTAGACTGGCTACTTTTGTGCACACAGGCAGGGAAACTGCCTGGCAGGGGTTCCTGAATTCGAGCCAGGGGAAGCGGGGTTCACATAGCAGCAGGAGCAGGCTGAACCATACAAGAGCACTCCATGCTAAGACAGGAGGTGAGCTGCCCAGGGACATGTCCCCAGGTCACAGACTTCCACCGGACTACTGCTGGGGCTCTGTGTACCAGCAGTGAGTAGTGGGAGCTTTTCTTTTCTTCTGCCTGGACAGGTGACCGCTATAGGTCCCTGCCAGCCTGAGAAGCCAGTGTTTGTTATCTGGGACTGCATTTCCTACTGGCTTCAATTCATGTGGCAAGGAGGCTGTGTCAGGCCCTCCTTCCCTCCCCAGCCCCTGCAGAGAGGCCCAGCTCTGGCCTCACTGCTGCCTCCATGTCCTTCCTCCCTGGGCCAGCCCTTCCTCCTGCAGTGGCCTCCTTGATGACCACTTAGACCTTACCCCAGGTCTTGGCATCCTGCCTTGGCCTGGAGATCACTAGAGGGCTGGAGCAATGCCAGGGGCATTGTTTGCCATTGTGTGGCAGGCCTGGAGCTGGCCCAGATGCCTCTTGCAGCCCAACTGTTCAGGCTGGGGTGATGCAGGGTGAAGACAGCCTGGACTGTCTGCAAGAATGTCCGCCTCTCAGGAAAGTAGGCAGAGGGGCCAGGGAAAAAAACAGAGGGTGGGAGAGGGCTCAGTTACAGGGTTTTTCTGGGCTTTGGGAAGCTCTTGGCCACAGAATCTCAGGCTTCATCTTGCAAGATAAGGATGTAAATGATGGCTCCCGTAGCAAACCTCCCTGACTCCTGGCTCTGAGCTCCCAGCACTCTGTCACATCAGAGTGTCAACTCTGCCCCCCCGTGCCAGCCAGCTTGGGCCAGCTTGGAGCCAGGAAGGTCACTGCAGGTGGCAAAGAGAGGACAGGTGCAGGCCTGTGGGGTTTCTCTGGATAGATCTGTGCAGGTAGCACAGTGCTCCCACCCCATTAGACCACATGACCGTCCCTGGAGTCTCGGCACAGCTGGCCTGGTGGCTCCAGCTGCTTCAGGAGGGACTGGGATCTTCCTTCCTCTCACATCCATCCAGAGAAATCTACCCAGTGGCAGAGAAGCCCCTGCTCTGGTCACCTCCTGCTCCTTGAGGATGCCCATGACCTTAAGAGGTTCACTGCCCTTAGGTGAGAACTGGGCCAGGGGAAGCAAATCTTTAAGGGTCCAGTGTTCCTTGGAGGCAGATGCCAATCATGGCAGGTACTGGCTGCTGGGCCCCTGCCTGTCAGCTTCTGCCCTACCCCAGGGGCCACCTCCTCCAGGAAGCCTTCCCAGCCCCTCTCAGTGCCCCATCTGCCTGGAGGCCCCTGCATGAACATCCTCATGGCCTCCCCTCGGCTGCCCTTCTTCAGATCAGGACCGTGATGTCTTCACCTCTCCAGTGTCTCAGGTGCCCGGCACATAGGTACCCAGGGAATGCTGGCTGAATGAATGAATGAGTGAATGAATGAATGAATAAATGAATGAAAAAAGATATCTGAGTGTTGGTTTCTCAAACTACATCCTGTGATCATTATAATTTTTCACTCAAGTATCTCCTGCAAAATTCAAATAATGAAGATTTTTTACCCCCAACCTGATGAAGCAGGGACAAAGTAAAGAGGACATATTCTTTGTGAATTAACATTTTCCTCCTAGGAATCTCTTTTACTTTGGCTCCTGGTGCTGTCTGCTTGTGTTATAGTCCAGAGAGCCTGGGCCTGAGGCAGCCCAGGAGGCCACACGCGTGCTGCCCGGGCACTGACCTCGGAACCCTGTCCCATATCCTGCCCACGGGAGGGTGTTCGGGCCTCAGGGAGCAGCACTGGAGATGACCAAGGTGAGGTGGGCAGATGCCACCCACCTTCCCCTGAGCACTGAGCCCTGCCTGAGGTAGGCTGGGGACAGCGGGCACTGGGGGTGAGGAGGAAGCTCAGCAGAGGGTCTGGCCAGTAGCTGGAAACTCTGGCTATGGGACCAGCCCCATATTTTTG